CCTATAATAAAGTCTATAATAATTTCTTACTATAGCTTAGAAAGGAGGGGAAATAAATTAAATATACTATATAATAGATATCTCTTTACTTTAGTCTATTAATATATAAGATAAATTCTAATATAGTCTTTTATATTCTTTCTTATATTTTACTAGAAGTATTTTCTCTAGAAGATCTCTAGTATCTTACTAATACTAAAATACTTATCTATAGGATTATTATAATTAGCTTATAGTAATTCTTCTTTAAAAGCCGGTTTATTTAGTATATAGATAGTATTCCGATATCTTAATAACCCAGATATATTAAGTTCCCAAGTCTTAATAGCTCTAGTAGAGGTCCCTTTTAAGAACTATTTATACTACCGGTATTATACTAATAAATCGAGCTTTTAGTATTATAATAGTAGTTTAAGTAATATCTTTCTGTTTTTCTTATATATTATTTTGGACCTAGCTACCCATATAACTAGAATCCGTAATATATACTATTTATAACTAGCTATACTAGTAATAGGCTCAAGTAGTAGTATCTCCGGTACTATTCCGTTACTAAAATAGATTTCCTTTTCGGAATTCCTTAATATCTTACTAATTAAGAAATACCTATTTCCTCTTTCCTGGGCCTTATATTATAATATTACAGGAATAGTATAATATCCTATTACTATTACCTATAGGGTTCTCTATTCTGTATTCTATAGCTTATTATAAAATATAGGTAATAAAGTATTTTTTTCTATACCTACTATAAAGTCTGGCCTTCTTAATAGTCTATTAGTAGAATTACTATACTCCTGTTGGTATTCTAAGATAAAGTCGAAAATAGCTAGTTCCTCTATTTATCTTATCTATTAACTATTTAGTTTTCTTTTAGTTATAAAATATTTCAAGTTATTATAATTTATTTTAATAATAATAATATACCGGATATATATTAGGTAATACTACTAAGTATAGAATACCAGAATAATAGCTAAGAATTCAGAATTATATATCTTATATCTATTTTTAATTATAGTTATCTTTTTTAAATAGAAAGTAATAGGGTATTATCTGGCTTCTATTTCCTTACTAAAAAGCTAGGAAATTATATCTATAATTATAAATCCTAAAATATTCGTTTCTATATAAATCTTTAAGGCTAGATCGAAATAATAAAGGATTAGTACTATTATAAATATAATTTATAGCTCCCTAAAAGCCTTATTTACCTTATTTGTTTAGCTAAAATAATATTATAGGTTTCTATTAGTTTTTAATAAATCAGTTAATTCTTTTACTATCCTAGAATATCTATAGATAAACCTCTAGTAGAAGTTAATAAAACTCAGAAATACTTGGACTTCCCGGATATTATTCTTTGAAACCAGTCATTTCCTAATAGCTATAACCCGGCTTACTTCTATTTTTATATTATCTGAACTAATTATAAATTCCAGAAATTCTATTCTTTCTATATTAAACTTATATTTTACTAAGTTTATAAAAAGCTAGTATTATTATAACTATTCGAATATATATCGGATTACTATTATATACTATTCTGGGTCCTCTAAATAAATTAAAATATTATTCAAATAGACTATATAAATAATATCTATAAGGCCTATTAGTATATAATTAATATATACCTGAAATATTACCGGAATATTAGAAAGTTCAAAAAATATAATATAGTATTTAAAATATTATTTTTTACTTATTATTTTTCCGGATTTATAACTAATAATAAATATCTTTTAAATCTAGCTTTATATATACCTTTACTTTATAAAGCCTATCTATTATTTTACTAATAAGTAGTAATAGTATCTAGTTCTTAATAATAATCCTATTTAGATTCCGGTAATTAATATATAGATATAGGCCGCCTCTTTTCTTTGGAATAAATATAATTGGGATATTAGCTAAACTAGTAAAATAACGGATCTATTTCTTCTCTAAGCTAGTATTAAAATATTCCCGAAGGACTTTAAACTCTCTTTCTAATAAAATATATATAGTACTATATAATAGTTAGAATCCTGGTTCCAGATCTATATAATACTCTATTATATAATAGTTAGGTAATATATTTATAGCCTCTATAGAGAATACTTAGAAAAGGTTCTAATACTTCTTGGGAAATATAGCTGTCCTATTTATAGTAATAGTAGTAATTCTTCGGCTATCCGTTATAGGATAAATAATTAATAGAAAAACATATATTTTATACTTTACTATTTTAGTAAACTTTCTGGTATTTAGAACTTTAATCTTTTATAGTCAAATCTGATATCTCTATATTACTTCCCTAAAGGAAATCAGGGAATTAACCTAATAAAGCTATAGGAATCCAAATATTATATTAATATAGTTTAGATCGAAATTATATAATATAAAGTATATATTAGCCTTTTTTTGGTCTCCTAGTATATTTTCGGTAATAATCCCAAGAATATAATCTTTATATAAATAGATTCTTTTTCTTTCTAGTAAGATTAAAAGAGTTATTCTTAATATTAATAGAATACCTATATCTAAAGCTAGTTTTCTTTTTATATAATTAGCCTCTATACCCGAATTAACTAATACTCTAACCCTTTACTTACCTTTCCTTATCTTAATAGTAATCTTAATTACTATTCTCGTTTTAGGGGCCTTATTCTCTATAGTATAAATAAGTATAACTACTATAAAATATATCCGTTTCCCGGCTTCTTTAGTTCTAGATATTTATATATTTTATAGCCAGACTTATTATAGTTATAGTAAGTCGGTTTTCCCTAATTTAGGCAGGTAGTAGTATAGTAACTCTCCTTCTAATAGGTAAAGCAAGTTATATCCGGTCTTATAGATTCTAATATAAATATTATATTAGATCCTATTACTATATCTTTACTATCCCGGTTATATAAACCTTATAATAGGGATATACTTTTCTTCCGTTTCCCTTTATTATCTCCTTTTTCCTTTCTCTAATTTCCTTTCTTTTATTAACCTATTAGCTTATTATTATATTTCCGTTAAGTAAACTGGTTTAAGTTATTCTCGATTCTTATAGCTATAGAAATAAGCTTTTTCCTTTCTTATAGAATATTCCCTTAGTAATTAATCTCGTTCCGAATCTCCTATCTCAAGCTACTAAATAAGTCGTCCCGCTCTTATAATAAACCTGTATATTCCAAGTTATTTAATAGGCTATCCAAGTAGGATATAAAGCTTTGGATACTCTAACCTGGCTACTATTTTATATCCTTGAACTTAGTAAAGGTATTATTATTATAGTTCTCCGGATTTAAGATAGAATCTTTTATAAATTTAATAAAGGTCTCCCAATCCGTAATATTAATACCTACTAATTACTTCCTATATTTCCAGATATCCCTGGCTATATTCTTAAAGCAGGAAATATAATATATAACTTTTACTATATCTATAGCCCAGGTAATCCTGCTATTTTTATACTATTTTAGCTCTACCTAGTAAAAGAAGTTCTGGGCTTCCTTAATATTCTTCTCCTTATAAGTTAGTAATTCTCGGGTTTTTAGAGTTCTATAAACCAAATATACTACCGGTAATATAACAGGTTCTATAATAGGTATCCGAATATTCTTAAGATAATAAATCTAAGCTTCTATCTTCTCTAGATCCTCCCTCTATTATATCTCTACTTCTAACTTAGTAATATAATAACGAGCTACTACTAGCTTCTCTATTATTATTATCCTGCTAGCTAGTTCTGGGGATATCTGAATTCTATTTCCTTCTCCTAATTAGGTAATAGCTAGAGTAGCTAACTGGGTACTCCCCTGGATACCCGACTGGGTTACTCCGGCGGTAGTAAAAACACTTCTCCTGGTTAATACTCCAGCTATTAATAGTTTTATCTATTAATAGCTTGACTACCTTATAACGAACTGCTTTCCGAAGGTTGGATTAATTAGAATATAAGGTATATAATAGCAGGGTAATATATAAGTAGTTAAGGTAATTAAGCTATAGAGTAATACTTATAAATATAACTGATTCCAAGAATTAATTCTAATAAAAGACTAATTAATATTCCTTTCCAAAGCTAGGAGCGTCTCCCTATATATTCCCTAGTATTTAGCCAGGTATATAAAGCCTTTTACTTAATTAGGAAATCCTATATAATCTATATAATTCCGATTATAAGCTATACCCAAAATAGGAAACTAGATCCGTAATATCTAATACCTATCTATATACCATTATATATATCTATTATAATACCTTATAGCCTTTTCCTACTATTATTAATAAATAGTATTATTTCGAGCTTTTTAATATTTCTAATAAGATAATATAAGTTATAAAAAATATTTATAAAATACTAGAAATTTGAGATATAAAGTTTTATTCTAGAAAAAAGCTAGCTAACTTAGATAATCTAAAGATTATAGTAAATCTAGAAATAGTATATAATTAAACTTAAGGCTATTTAGTATTTATATCTTATATTAATTATATAAAAAAAGAATTCTAAAGGCCTATAATAAGAATATATATAAGTTTAGGGCAAATTTAACTAAGTCTATTATAATTATAGATATAATAATAGTAGTAAAGTATATATCTTATATTACCTTAATATAGTACTAAAAGATCTAGCTTCTTTTAAGTTAGCCTCTATAAAACCTTAATTTTTAAAATCACAAATACCCTTAAAATAAAGTAATAAAGTAAAGAAACTAATAAAGAAAAAGAGAAAGAAAAAGAAAGAAAATAAGAATAAGAATAAAAAGAATAATAAAAATAGAGATATTTCGAGTATTATAAAAAATAATAGTAAGAATAATAATAGTAAGAAAGATATACCTTATAATCTATAGGATTTATTATATGGATTATATAAGTTAAAAAAAGGTTAATAGTAGTTAAGAAGAGGGGGCAGAGGCAGGGGCGGGGATAGAGGAGATACTAGAGATATTATAGTAAAGATAAATAAAAATATTAGTATATTTAGTAATTGCAAATAGCTTTATTTTGGCTATCTCTATATAAGTTATATATATGAGTATAATAGTAGTTGCGCCCGCAGAATGCGGTATTTTGGTTACGGGCGATTTTTGGTGGGGTGCGCACATGCCACAAATCAGACATTGAAGGTCGAAAACCAGATTCGAAAATCGCTTGGTCTTCTGATCCTTACGGCTTTCCGTAGCCTAGCCTCGACCAGCCAGCATAACGAGGAACATTGCCACATGCGCGTCTTGATATAACCACCTGGGGAGAAACCGCTCCCACACCTCTTCCCTCCCTTTTCTTACATCACGATCGCCAAACTCCTTCCGTTGCCATCGCCGTCTCATGCCTATGGTATCGGCTAGGATTCCGCCAACCTGTGGTCATTGCCAGGCCTCTTCACAGCTGTTGGATGGGTCACCCCAACCGTGTAAGTGTGGCGCGTTCTCCTTCCATGCTTGTAGACTTCCGCACCTCCTGGGAAGTCCGTCGTTTATGTGTAGGTGGATCCACTTTCTTCTGCCATAGATCATGCTTATGGTCTGCAACTTCCTCCAATATTATTCTCTAAAGGTAGTTTACTGCTGCAGGCCACGAGCTTCCTCTTCTTTCCCCTTTTTATTCCAAAAGAATATCCTCAACAGCTAACTCGAGCCTGGCCAGCTCGCCTCTCATCAAGCCATGCAGGTAGCATTCGCCAATCAGGCGGTATCGGTTCCCAAGAGATCGCCTAAGAATGAACGGAACCCGCGCACCCTGAATGAAGCATATGAAATCACCTGGCTTCGCTTGATCCGATACGAGGCCAGTGTAACCGCGATCAGATACGCAGAGGTTGTTCCCCGTTCGATTGAACTCAGTGTGGTACTCGCATCGAATAAGATCTGCATTCATTGCCATCGTGTCCATAGTCAAGGCTGGTCTAGCTCCGGGTTGAACCGTTCCAGATTTTGAAGCAGTCTCTAACAGTTTGTTAAGTTGCTGCTTCACAATACTTATTGCCTCCCTAGATGGCAGGATACCTTCTCTTCTGGCTAGATGGTCATACCATATATGAGAAGGCCAGACGGATTCGTGGTTGATATGCGACTCCCGTTCGGCGTGGATATATTTCGTAGCCATGGTATATGCGATGAATTGACAAAAAGAGTTTTGGGCATCGTGGGTGGCTGGGTCGCTGAGGTTGTAGCGATCTGTGATAAGTGTCCTCCAGAGAATCTCTGTTCGGGAAGTTGGATAGGGCCACAATGGCTTCTGAACAATCCGACACCAAGAGTCAATCACGCAAGGCTCTGTCCAAGCAAGTGCAATCTCATCAATTCGACAACAAAGAATTGCCTTGACTCGGAGCAATGCCGATGAGGGGAAAACTCGTGCTACAAATTTGTTTCAGGATTACCTCGGTTTGGTGCTCACTATTACGGAAAAATAAGAATAGTTGGTCTTACCTTCATGATGTGGTCGATCTCCTTTATACAGAAAGTCGGTCGCGTTGAAATTCCTACGTTCCATCAAATATCCCATGCCTTTCGTATTATAGTCAGGAATCCAAGAAGGAAGGTTTGCCAGATCCGAGAGAGCATCTCCATTCACTTGCGATAATATAGCCAAGTCATCAGATGCGGTGATCATGAAAGTGGTGAAAGCGGTGAATAGCTGCTGTGGGGTTGACCGGCAGTCCATCAACTTTATCAGCTCCGTCTTCATTTCCGGCTTGACGCCCCACAAAAACTTGACTGCTAGTGAAAGGGGGGCCAATATCTTATCTGCCGGCTTCGTAACTTCTCGTATCCGAGTACACCGTATGAGTCGGTCGATCGTTCTAAGCCAGATCTCCTCTGGAGTAGGCTCACGAAATTCTCCAGAAGAGGTAATAGGTATAAAAGTCAGCATACCAAGCCCCTTCCCCGGCCAGTTGCTCCCTATCCACTCTAAAAGTGAAGCTGCTTCTCCAAACCCATTATTCCTTCCAAACGGCAAATGTTCTCCCATTGCGTATAAGTCTTGCATCCATCCGGATTTTATAGCAAAGTTGGCGAAGGATAGTGCGCAGCTAAGATCAAACTCTTCAGATCCGCAAATTGCTCGTGTGTTAAGTGCCAGTGATGCCTCCTGCAAAGTCCACACCCGCCTGAACCATCTGCGACGAAAGAATATCAGGATCGCTTTCCATTGAGTTTCGCTTAGTGGATACAAGCCATGGCTTTCCAGGTAGGTCCTATCATTGAAAGGAATGTGAGGTCCTTGTGCGAGCAACAATTGACGTCCAAATTTCTCAATGATAGGAATCGCCTCCTTCGATTCATCGTCGCCACATCCCAGCCAGATGATTACCTCCTTCGCCTTCGAATAAATGTCGGCCATCAACTGGATCTGCTTCGTCCTTTCGGAATCATCGCTCTGGTCAATACAGATAGCATCGATCCAAAGGTCCACAAAATATCTTCTTGCTGCAAGTTGAAGCAGGGCTTCGAACAGGTTTCTCTTGACCTTTAGTGGAATGCCATCACACACGATAATGGGGGATTTTCCGGTTGATGTTAGTTCAGTGCCATCTTCAGATTCGCCATAAGGATGGCCCCAAGTATATGAAAGAGCATAATACCGGGAGTCCCGTCGATCAAAATCCAGTGAGCAGACCGTAAGTGAAACACGTATGTCATCTCCAGTGCAAGTCTCGTGAAGCTTCAGAAGTCGGCATTCGTTTGGTCGAAGAGGCTTGTCAGTATAAGTGACCGACGAGAGGATATCGACTACATCAGCTGTAGTCTCAGCCATGACTTTTAGGTGTATTAAGAAAAGTGTGGGTGACCCTTGTACCACCAGCCTCCTTCTCAGGAGACAGGACAGAGAGGACAGGTTTGAGTTATCGTTTGGGAAATTAGTTGCTACTTCTAGCCCTGTAGATTTTGATTCGCGAAGAGAATAAGAAGAGCTCGATTGCGCCGCGCACAGGATGAAGAGAGTGGATCGAGTCACGTGCGGAGACGAATGCGCTTTTCCATTTTGGGCAAAGCTTGATCTTGAGCGAACTTAGCCGCTTTCCGTAGAGTACGCCTTTTTCGCAACGTCGCGTACTGTAGGAGTTTGGGATGGGTCGACATTTACTTCAGCGACTCTCAATTTAGCAGCTCATGCTCGTACGAAGTGCGACCAGTCATTCGGTAGCAAGCCCTCGAGCAGCATCTCAACTCACCAGCTCACATCTTCGAGTACGACGATCGGTCACGGCGGCAACATTCGGGTGTATCAATACCATTTGCAACAAATAGGATCATATCAAGGGGGAAGGGATATCCTGAAGGATTTTGAGGATGGCGTAATGGTCAGGAGAACTGTTTTTCTTTCAAGTCAATTTGCTACAAGACACCATAGGACGTGGAAGTATTCACTCCAATCTCTCCCACCTCTTTGTGATCCTCGTCTCTTTGGCCCCGCAACATAAGATATAATCCTTCAAATCTGCCAGCGTATCTTTCTGCTTGAGCAGTAGCTCGATGACTTGATTGAAATCAAAGCCCACCATATCCTCGAGCATCTCCTCATCCTCTAGCAACCCGAGAGCTTTCTTGTTAGTTTCCTCTGCAATTTGAATACCTTCCAAGGTGTTGCCCATCCACAGATTCTCAGTATTGGCATACGTCTTAACAGAGAGCTTTCGCAATTTGCGGGGTTGGAATGCTGGATTGATATCGCCAGTGCCCCCTCTGTTGTCGACAACAACAGGAACAGCTAACAAAGTGAGTTTTTATATCATAGTAGACGAATGATCAACATACCAGCACTTCCAACGTTCTTGCTGTCAGCACACTCCAAGGACGCCTTCCGCTTAGGCTGGCCATTGCTAGTACTGCGACTTGGACTCTGCCCATCTCGACTCAGCTGCTCCTCCCCTTCACAAGGCCGAGAACCTGTAGCAGGTTCGGTAACGGAATTGGGGGGCGGATCGTTTGTCGCAATGCCGACTGTGACTAACCCACTTACTTCGCCTAGAATAGGGTTGAACCCCCTGTCAACCCCTCGAGTGACCAGTGTCACGTGGCTAGCAAGAGCTCTGGGCTTGGATCTCGTCGATCCTGCGTCGTGCAAGCTCGGAGCAACCGTATCTGCTGGCACAGCAGCCTGGGACCCCTCGCTGGGCTTGTCTAAAGCTGACTGGTCGCCTGACCGACTGCAAACAGCGTCAAGGTCGGCACGGTTTGCAACAGGTGTCTTCAGCTTGGCTTTTGGAGGCTCTACTACTCGTGATGATCTGAGTAATACTATTTTTTCTGAGTTGGTTTTCGTTGCCGAATAGGAGTGATTGAAGTGTGGGAGTGGAAGGGTATGGAAAAAATAATGAAGATGAAGATGGTAAGTCGAGGTGATAATGGAAATGTCTTCGTACTTATACCCCTCTCCTGACCAGGCTGACCTGCTAATGCATAACCGACAGGTTACCCATGATCTTTTGAGAGGCCACTTGCCATTCATGGATGTGATGCTGCGCCTTTATCTAGATGTGCTCGATGCGTTCGTATCGGCTCACCGTCCCGCAACACCAATGAAAGCCCTGCAGTGTGAACAATATTCACAGCCGATCTGCTCCGCAGCTGGGATCCCCATATATAATAGCAAAGGGAGTATGCCCTCCGCCCTCCCCTTTTGCTCCACTGCTCTCAGAGGTATATCCGTGCTCGAAGCTGAGACAATCAGAATAATAAAACGGAACGCATAATGGTATGGCGATTGGCATGTGAACGAGGAGGAGAAGCATGGTTGCCCCTCGAGCCTGAAGTTGGAGTGCCTTCGCCGACCCCTTGGCCGCCACTCAACTGTATGAATCAAGAGAATGCTAGACTGCAGCAACCCCAAAGGCAGTCAATAGATCCACAGCTGAGCGCCCGTTTATGCATATGACCCCTTCAGACACGAGGTATGGGCCACTGCGGCGTCCCTACTGGTGTGTATGGTCAAGATGGTGCTATCATCAGGGGGTGAACGCCGACGAAATGGCCTGGTCCAAGGCACAGCGCAGCTGCACAATACCTGTGCTGCGTCAGCTGCTCAAGGGGGGAACACAGCAACTACCATAAAGCCTGTATGTGCATACGCATGGAGGTGATGAACAGGGGCGGAAGGTTTGAAGGGGGTTCAGCAGTGGAAGCCAGGCCCAATCTGACACCTCAAGGCAGACTCGATCCTCGGCAGAAGGGTCTTCCAACAGCATAAAAAGGAGTAGACTCCCGTGTCATATATATGTTGCTTTGAGTTCTGGGATACAACCATCTCACAAGCCGGACTTCGAGCCGGGACACTCGCGATGATCAATCTGATCCCACTGTTTGCAGTTCCTCACCTTAGTACCCTCGCAGATCTACTAGGTGTGACCCTCAGCACGTTTCGGCAGATCCATCGGTCGGCAGGCGTGATGGCGGTTATGCTCACCATCTTCCACCTGTTAGTCATGATAGCCTCGCAGCCCTCCTTTCCTTTGGACCTGCCCCAGAACAAGTTCGCAGTTATCGTAAGTAGTCTCTTCGCCACATGTCTCCGCTAACGCTCTATATAGGGAGTATCATTACTAGGGTTCATTATTCTGCTCTCTCTGTCTCTCTTCCGCTGGCCCTCCTACGAACTCTTCCTCCGCACCCATCAGGCCTTGGCTACGCTCGCTGCCTATTCCATCTGGCGACACCTGCCCTCCGAGAAGGCCTTCCCCCGCATATACCTATACATCTCGGCAGGGCTGCTTCTGTTCATGTGCATTGCCCAGGGTTATATGGTCATCCGCCGAAACGGTGTCTTCCGTTACGGTGGCGCGCGAGCCCACATTACCCACGAATATGTTGCGGTCAGGGTCCGCATCCAGCTTCAGAAGCCACTTGACGTCAAAGCCGGGCAGGCCGTCAACCTTTGGATATGGATGCCTTCCGTCAGTTTCTGGTCCTTCTTATAAAGTCATCTATTCGTAGTCATCTCGTAGGCAGAGAAGCCGCAAGATCATCTAGATCTCTTTATCGAGCCTCGGAGAGGCCTGACCCGAGAACTCTTATACCATACCAAGAGTGGGCATGCCATGAACCCCTGGGTACTGTTCAGTGGACCTTACGGGAATAGCATTCCCATAGACAACTGTGAGAACATCCTTATGGTAGCTAGTGGCTTCGGAATCGCAGTACATTTGCCATACCTGAAGCAGCTCATTCACGGGTACAATGCCCGTAAGGTTCGTACTCGTCGAATCCATCTGGTTTGGCAGGTTCGGGACATCGGTAAGTCGTGACCCCTCTCACCTCCTTTAGAACAGAGATCTGACCGAGCCAGACGTTACAATCGCGGCCCAGCCGCTCCTTAACGGTGCATTAAACGAGGATACGCTGGATAATGGCTGGGTACGTCTTACAAGGGCTGTCATCTTCTTGGTCTCGCTAACAGCAGAGAACAGATTCTAGCCATCTCGATCTACTGCGAATCAAGCGATATTGGCGAAAAATCCTTTGGGAAGCGTGCAAAGGTCTATCCGGGCAAAGCTCCATTGCGAGAGATCCTTCAGGCAGAAGTTGCAGGAGAGCATATTGAGAAGAAGCCAGTAGACAACATTGACTGCGATACAAAGACGCCCGTGGAGGGGGAACTTGAATCTCTGGCAGTATGACTTCACCGGGGCAACAGGAAACGGGGCCTCTCTCTCACGGGCCTCCCCCTGAATCATCTATCACGGTAAGTTATGAGTGGGACTCGAGTACAAGCATGTGAGCTAACCGGATAGGATTCTGCCTCAGCAACAAACGCGGCGATAGATCATGTGGAAGATGATTCTGCCATCGCGGCGTAAGTCGACATCATCTAATTCATATGAAGCAAACCTTTAATCCGCATGGACTAACATCTCTTCTAGTAGTATACTTCAAGGCCTTGCTCAAGGTCATACTCCAAGCAGAGAGACTGACCCCGCCGCTGAGCCGGTTCAAGGTAATGACGGGCAGAATCCCATACCATCCGGGGACGAAGATTCTCAAATTAGACGACTCCGAAGTTAATACACTCTGTTCTCCTTATCTCACCCTTCACTGATTTTTTTAGTGTTATCTTCAGTGTTGAAGATGTTTTGCGAAATGCTAAATTTGAATGCCTCCGACGGCCGTTCAACTGTTCAAGTTGAGACCCTAGAGCTCCTTTCCAATATCATGGAAGGCGCCTTTCGTAGGTTCCCCCTGCTACAAAGCTCCAACTGGGTTCTAGGCTCACTTCTCGCAGAATGTTCTGCGAACCTACAAGCAAATAACAGACAAACGCAAGGCAGGTCATTCGGATATCCTGCAGAATCTTCATATTAACTGACTTTCATTCCAGAACGTATAAACTTGCTCCAAATGGAGAATCAAAGGCTACATGGTATGCAAGATATATTCCTTGTGAAGCTGTGAGGATATCATGGCTGAAATATCTCTTCTACAGAGAACATCAAACAGCTCCGCGAAGAGAAAAAGGAACTCAATGGTATGGGCTTCTCTTCTACCATCTATCTGTTTATTTACATTGGACAGGTAAATACATAAGGCTCGAGCATATCGCAATCCGGGTAGAAGCCGACAATCGAACGCTAAGAATGGAGAAGGAAGTTTTGCAGGGCGAGACGGTTGCTACAGATCACGGATCTATGACGGAAGCAGACGAGGAGGGCCCGAGTAAGAAGAGAAGCAGACGAGGGACGTAAGAGATCTTTTGTGATTACCGTATTTCTATTTCCTATTTTACTGCTTGCTTTGAGAGAGCCGATATTTCTTGGTTAGATTTGCTTGATTTTGCTTGATTTTGCTTGCTTGGTTGTCTGTTTTCTACTGATTTTTTACTTGCTCATATCAGCCGTCACCTATATATCTGTCTCACACTCCACCCAAGTTTCCACTATTCTTTCTTGCAACGGGAATTGCCGCATAGCCAGACAAACCCTCTGTCTTGTCGTGATCCTTCGAATTGCCTTACCACTTCCCCCTTTCCAATTCTGGTCTGGCCTTCGGCACGACTACAATGGCCTTAGTACCTGAGGTAACACAAATGGAGTCTACGTTATTACATAGGGTGGTCTTATGTAGTCACGTGGCCAAACTCACTTAATGCGGATCATCTCTTGAGGCCACCTCACTGTGGATCATTCACCCGAAACGACCTCCATTATTCCAATACATTGACCCGAAGACCTTGAGTAACCTTAGGGGATGAGTATTAGGCATACCTCGGGGCGTAACAGAAACGTTGCGCTGTCGGGCGTGTATCGCTTGGCCGTAAAATCGGCCTCCGCTACGATTGGCTGTTGCAGCAGGTGTGGTTATATACAATAATACATCTCTACATTATACAAAAAAACAAAAAGGCGTAATGATACAAAGAATAATCGCTTTGTTGATTCATGTATAGCTCTTGCCTGTTACAAACGGGTTCATTAATCTATATATCGTCTCGTCCTGTTTTACATCTAGACCACAGTTAAAGCAAAAATAGGAGTATGCGTTCTGGGTTACTCTGAACATTGATCCGTAATAAATGTACTGCTTGTTTGGGACCTTAAGGTACTTCGATTGCTATAAATGTATTTGAAATATTATCATCTGTGTAGTACCCCAAATGGAGAGAGCTGCCTTGATCTCGATTCTGGACGGTGACAATTCATCTACCGTAATAATCGAGTGTGAATAGTGAAACTCCTTTAACCCCACCCTCTTGGCCAAACCAATCCTTATTCAAGCAATCCCTGAGCCCGTTCTAAGCTACCCTTTAAGGCGGACAAGGTTGCCTCCGAGACGTCAAGCATACCGTTGATATCAAGTAACAAAACATGGTCCGAGCCAAATTCGTCAAGCCTTTGGCATATACAAGAATTCAGTTGTGAGGCCGTTTCAATTATACAGCAGGCTCGGCAAAAATTCCTTAATTTCCGGTATCGATAGGTATCGATGCCAGAATCGTAAGGTATCGATAGTATCGATAGTAGTATCGATTCCCCGAACCCAATTCCCCCCTTTAATTGCAATTAACTTTAGAAACACTTCTCTTATAAGAAAACTTTTGGTAGCGCAAATATTCTACTTGATTTAGGCTTTCTATTTAGCTACTTATCTTATATTTTAGACCAAAACTTATCTCAATGCGGCTATTTTAAGTAAAAATAAGCTTTTGAGATTTTCGTGAGGCTCGCTTATATATTTAGCGTCTTGATAAGAAATACGAATACGGGGCTTAATTCTCCGAATACGAGGGCTATTTTAAATTTAAGATATTATTAACTTTTATTAATAATAGTAAGTATTTCTTTTAATAGAAAGACTAGAAATTAAAGGAATTATATAATTTAAATAATAAAAGAAAGAGTTAATTTTTGGGGTAAGAATCGATTCTGGTATCGATACTATCGATTCCTTGCGATACCTGAAAAATACCTCTACTATCGATACCGGTATCGATGCCTCAGGTATTATTGCCGAGCCTGTTATACAGAGATGAAGCTTCGGCCGGGCAGAGAATATTGGCCTAGTGTACTCGTACCCAGCTTCGTCTCGGAGTTTATTATTCTTGGGCTGAGTTGAAGTGTCATCCTTATTCCTGCCACACTTTGGATTGGTCTTAGGCACAAAAATCCCAGATTGGGCTCCCGATGTCAATATCGGCGAAGTCTGATGCTGGCTGTGCCTTGGGCGATGACTTGGTATAGCCTGGGAGACGTGGGAAGGCATGGAGACTCTAGATTTCTGTTTGGTCGTTTGAGAGACTTGGGGTGTTCCGGAGGCTCGGGTTGTTAATATGCCCTTTTGTTTGACTGTTTGAACTCGACCTGTCGTGGAGTTTGTACTATCATCGACGGTTGCCCCATCGTCTTTATCTTCTTTGGTTTTGCTAGTGATGGGAAAAATGTCTTCTTGGCTGCCGTTTTGGCTGAATGAGAAGCAGCGAGGCATAGTACCACAGGATTTTATTGCGGTTCGTTTAGTGGTAGTTCCGTCATCGTATGTAATATAGTTATTGCTGCCGTCGCTATCGTCGCTGCCGTCGTCTCCGCCGTCGTTATTGCTGGTATTTTCTACGGAGGTACGAACTTTAATACCTGTAACGGCAGTACTTGAAGTCGTTGAGTTCGTAGAAGGGAGTTTGACGCTGGCAACTGAGTTCCGGATGCTACTACTAATTCGAAATACAGGGTCGTGTGACATTTCCGTACTAATAACTTTCGACTGAAGGATATCAAGTATCTGTTTGAATACCGTCGTATCAAATGATTGAGGGGAAGATTGATAATAGGGATAAGAGATGGGAGAAACTTTGACCTTGATAATTCCATCGGAGTACTGGGGCACTGGTGCACCTTATAAAGGTTGGGTAAGGGCGGGTGTATGGTAGGCAGCTACTTTATTTGAGGAGGTTCCAAAGGACCCTATATAGTACTAGTGAGAAGTCGTAGAAATTTTCGGGACTCCCGGTCCTTGAGATCAGTATTATCATTCGGTCTCTCTGAAAAGCCACGGTAATCGTTGTATGGCGGGGCGATCTCCGATTGAGCCAGTACCTTTGGCTTACCTCAAAATCATGGTAAGGTATATATATGGCCTCTAGCCAGGCAGATTTGGATATTGCTAATACAAACTGCTCCTTCCACCCTTATACAGGCGCAGCTCCAAAATAAAACGACTAGGGGAGCGTATATAGGAGGTGCTTTAGCTCAACCCAATAAAACCTGTAGCAGGAGGAGGGAACATCTCGCTTAGAAGAAAAGGGGGAAATGTTAAAAATAAGGTAATAAGGCAGTACTTTTCTTTATATACGAGGGTGTTATTATATTTCGACTCCTAGTAGAGTTATTATCAATTGTGTAATAAATAGTGTGGGAGGGAAACTGCGACAAGACAAAAACCCACATAAAGTACACCAGAGCGCAAAACGTGACTTGATAGCAAAATAACAAATCAAAAGCGTAAATAGTAAAGCATAAACAGTATGTAGTGTGCAAAAGCTCAATTAATTAAATACTCATGAAGGATTCTTCTCTAAGTCTACAGAAAAACCAGCTTTCTTATGTGATTTCCGCAAGTCACGTGCAAAAGGCCGCGGCCTTTGCCATGTGACCTAAACCTCAAAACCGCCAAAACAACATGATTTTCGACGAGTACGGCCTGCCGTACCACAATAGGCAGGTTCTTTGTATTAAAGAAAGGGACTTACAATATCATTTTTTGGTATAGGATGGGCTATATCCCTACTTCCTCACACCCCAGAATGGCGCCGAATCTTGCAGAGTCTCAATACCCAGTGATTGGCGATATGATCCATAGTAAGTCATTTAAGGCTGACGAGACATTGCGGTATTAATCCAAAGATTATGGTGCTTGAGGAGACACATAAAGAGCTGGAGACAGTATAGGTATAAGGTCGTTATTATCCAGAGCCTGTAGCGAAGTAAGTATACTCGCCTTAGATGCGAGAAGCTTTGTAAAGTGGAGGCTTTATTAGATACGGTAGGTTAAGGCGATCGTGAGAACGATCGCTTCGCAGTATTACCTGCAGACTGGCGAATACAGCTGTAACGGATCAAGAGTATAGAGGTACTGGAAGATTGTTAGCGTTTCTGCTATATAGTACGCCACCCGGTTACTTCCATTGATATTAGGCCCGATCAGGATACCTTGGAACGAAGTGGAGGAACGGACAAAGTCCCAACCTTGGATCGACGGCTGAAGCAGCTCAAATTCCTAATTGAAGATGGGTGAGAAAAAGAAAAGTCTCTCAAGGCACCGAAATGGGTTCTCTAAGTCTCAAAGAGAGTATACCTGGCGGAACTAAGAGCCAAGTATAAGGAGGAAATTGAAGCCGAGAAAGCTATACCTAAAAAGCGAGGCACACTATCTATTAAGCAGAGATTTACTAACCTCCTCTTCCCCTATACGATTAAGTATAAGAGGAAGAAGGCTGGGAAGGGGAAGAAGGGGAAGAAAGGGAAGAAGGCTAAGAACGGGAAGAAAGGCAGGAAGGTGAGTAATCAGAAAGGTTAGCAGGTGAGTAAGGAAGAGGTGCGTAAAAGAGCAGAGGATATATTCGAGTATTGGATACGGGTGGGAAAGCCGCTATAGAGAATGTCTCAGTACTACGGCCTCCCCATCCTAGTTATACTTCCTAAGGAGGTAACAGAAACGAGGTAGGTTCTTGCTTCCCTAGTCCGGATGGAACTCGTTACTCTGGTTTGCTAATTATTAGTCTTTATATACTTAAACTCGGGAAGAATCAGGATCAAGATATCATCGACTACATTGACTTATATTATCCAGGGTTAAAGGAGCAGATTAGCAATCTGTCCTCCCTTCTTCCAGGTATAATTGCAAGTGGGCTCCCATTAAAATGGCTAATAATCGAAATAATTCCGTATTACGAATTATCAGATTATCCCTTCGAGGAGCTATTCCAGTTCTCTAATAATCGCAAATCGTTATAACTCGGTAACCTCCCCTCGGAGGAGCCATCTTAGCTATCTCAGATACCTATAGAGACTATTAACGCCAAACAGGCGGATACGGCAGCTGGGCCTTCTAATCAGGAGTATACTAACGAGCAGCTATCTTATACCCAAGGTACCATAGAGTTAGTCCAGAGTATGCATCCGGACCATACTTCTGAAAACCCTTAGTCATACTCCCTCAGTATTAAAATTGAGGATAGAAATCCATCTAATTCTACTACGGATTATAGCAAGTTCGTATACCTATTAGCATATTACGAGAAATTCGGTTATTACCAAGAGCTTAATAAGCAATTCTAGAGCTATATAGAAAATCCCTCTTATTTTAAGGGTACTAATCCGTCTATACAAATATAGCCAGGTTATGGTAAGGGATTTCCTAATCCCTAAGACTATTATATCCAGGATAATAATTGGTATATATAATAGCCGTTTACTAATTGCAAGAGAGAATTTCCCAACTCCCAAGATAGTAACTTACAGAGATCAGGTCCAAGTAAGGCAAAGTTCTCTGATTTAGATTCGTTAATTAACTGTTCTCCCCAAATTATACCCAGTATTATATTAACTACTTATTCCATTCTGGCTACTGAGCCTAATATAAAACCCCAGCTCTTATTAATATCTGGCAAAATAAAGACATAACTAATTATATAATGGTATGAACTGCTTATAATCAAGGCACCGGAATAGTTAGTCCCAAAGATCTCTTCCGAGTATCTGTTTAGTATTTAGTACAAAACAAATAATTTTTCGGTAAAGCTTTAGGCTCCAAGAATATTATAAAGAACAGTAATATTATATAGCATTACTTATAGTAGCGAATACGGTATTAGTATAGGCATATACAATTTGTTTTGACTTTTGATCCTCTGCTTCTTGGGATACAAGCAAGAGGCACTACCCTAGTACGGCAGCTAGCCTGCCAAGGGTGCAAAGACAGGGTATAGAGACAGGGGGCAGAGGATAGTACAAAAATTTACTATTGATCTGGCTCCCCTATATCGGCCTAATTATAGCCTGGGGATTTGCAGGGAGCCGCATCGGGTACTATAACCGTTAAATTCTGTATTATGTCTCTATACGTATCGTAAGGCTTTACTATAGTATATTTGATATAATAATATCACTAAATCCCCTAACCTGGATTTCGCTATTAGACTCTCTTCTACTCTCTCAAGCATTTTATAAGGGAAAGAAGGGGTTTAATTAAGATTTTTTTTTTTGGAGTTCATACTTTCTAGTATAGCACCTGACTAATATAGGTACTAGATATGCGAACGAATAAAATAAAATAAGAATTAAAGTCTGGAACATTTTGTAATTTAATAAAAGTATAATTTAATAAGTTTTTGGATTCAATATAACTTCTATTACTAAATCAGGAATTACTCTTTTAGTATATACTTGTAATATCCACTATATATATAGAACTGGGCCAAAGATATAATACTAATAAGTAACTTCTTCTGGTATAAACGACCCAGGAGTAGGTACTACAACTATTAGGGTAGATCTCTTAGAGAGTCAAAAGAGTATGAGAAATAACATATCTTAAGTAGCTCTATTATAGAGCTGGCAGATATTATTACAGAAAGGAATTTAATAGCATCTGAGTTTAAAGGCTAGTAATCTAGATTATTAATACTAATAGCTCTATTCTCTTTAATATACTTCTGTATTAATTCTATTATAATTAATAAGAGGGCCTTAATATTATAAGGTTTACTCTTTAACTCTAATATTATATTAATTTATTATAAGACCGGATTAACTTATATATTACTTATATTAGGAGAGCTACTTACTAATCTTTATATTACTATCTGTATTTAGTAGAATATTCGAGTAAGTAAGAGACTCGTATTTGAATTCTTCTGCTATAAGATAGGCTATACCGGTTATAACCTGCTATAATTAGTATATATTCTTAAAGGAATTACGGAAGCTTACTTATCCAAGAATAGCCGCAAGTTATTATTTATTGAAATAAGCTAGTAACCTTATAATCTGTTTAAGAGAGAGGGGCATATACTTGAGGATAATATAGAGGCCGTTATTAGTTATAAAAGCTTTAAGGGCAATAATAATATTTTGGTACTAAAGTTATTAAAATAGGTATAGTATCTTTGCGGCCGCCTAGGTTATAAATACTCTTATATAAATAAGTTTAATAAGAGAAGCCTTTTAAATAGCTACTTTTATAGGGCTACTAAGTTTAGTATTATAGATCTTCTCAAACTTCTCCTATAGGAATTCCTATATTACTCTGAGTTAGAGGGGGCTACTTATTATAGATCTAATAGTCCTTAATAATACCTTTTTAGTTCTGGTTAAGGTATTTAAAGCACCTTTTCGAAAGCTAGCTCTCTTCTTACTTAAGGCATCTATCTTGGAAGTTGAGCCAAGTAAGTTATATATAATAGTATATTTCATAACCTTATTTAGTAATTTGGCCTCTACTAATATAAGTATATTAATCTATATATAACAATTATTAGAAAGATCTATCTTGAGAGACTAGGTAATTAATAAAATTAGGGAACTCGGTACTAGTATAAGGTAAGGTATATATAATAAGGATATGAAAGAAGAAGAGGTTAAATAGAGAACCAGATAAGAAATAGGTTATATAGTTTTATTATATATAATTTAAAAAGTATTTAAAAACTCGAATAGGTTAAGAGGCTTTAACTAAATAGGCTTTAACTAAATTAAAGATAGAAGGTAATAGAATTTAGCTCTCTTATCTTACTTTAAATAGATAACCCTACCCTATATCTATTTCTTTTTACTCTTTCTCTAAATACTTTCTATTACTATCCCAGGATATAATAAACTTCTATTATAGCTGAAATAAATATTTATAAAATATATTAATCTCGGTTCTCTAAATAGAGGCTCGAGGCAGAGTAATTTATTAAGTATAGAGATACTATATATATTAGGCTCAAAATATTTAATTTCTAATAGAATAAGCCAAGAGAGCTTAATTAGAAGAATATTAATAGGCTAAAGGAAATCTTCCGAGAAAAGAAGATATTATATAAGGATATTTATTAGCTAGATCCTCGAAACTATATTCTTGCTATAGTTAAGTAATCTGACCTTAATAATACTATTCTTGCTTCTAAGATATTATTAGAAAAATTACTAAATAATTCTGATAATAACTCTCTTATACTAAAATTTGCCGAGGGTTATTACCTAATATATTTATATAAATATTACTATATTTAGGCCGCTCGAGAGATCCTATTTCTAATAGATATATAATAAATAGTTAATTTATATTTTATAGGTATAAGTATTTTATAAAGATATAATAATAAGACTTACTAATACTTTTCCAGATATTAATAAGAAGCTCAGAATAACCCTAGTTAAAGAATATTTAAATAAGGAGAAATCGTCTAATAAAGAAATCTATTATAAGATCTAGTAATATAAGCGAGAAAGTAATATCTGCTTTAAGAAATAGTAGAAGGCTTTTCTTTCCGACTACGGGCGGCAGGGCCTTTAATAGCTCTATAACTATAGGAATAGAGAGTTCATTATTATATTTAATAAGTTACTAGATATTTCCGGGATACGGAATAATATAAGAATTAGTATACTATATAAAATACTTAATATAAAGTATAATAAGGTAAATCTGCTCTCGCTTAGGGCTTTATTTACTTATACTATATATAGGAGGCTCTATAATATCTCGAGCTTATCCCTAAGACCTTATATAGAATCTTTAAGAGAGTTTTTTATAGAGATAAAGCTGCCTTTTAGAAAGTAGATTAGATTACTATTAAAGTATTCGAGCTTAAGGCTCCGAAATACTCTAAGCAGGATACCCGAGACTTATAAGGGAAAATACCAAGTAGCCAGATCTATAGCTTATTTAGCTAAGAAAAGTATAAAGTAATCTAAAATAAGTTGTATTCTATTAACTATCTTATTTCTTTATTCTTTATTTTTTTTAAGAATTTCAAGTACTTCCGTATATATATTAACTATTTAAAGTAGCTAGTAAAGCTATTATATAGAAATATAGTCTATATAATACTAAAGCGGAAATTCTCTTATAAGAATAAGGCAAGTAACTAATATATTATTGAGATTACCGAATCTACTTTTATAAATAGATTAGGATAAGCTATAAATTATATTAATTTAGGATATTAGTACTTATAGCTCTTTATAATACGGGATTATATAGAGATACTAAGGGATACTAAAAAAAGTAATAAAGACCTACTTACTAAAGCTAGAGTTTAGAGAGCAAATAAGGAGATCTTATTAAGAGTAGTAAACTTAGCTAACTAGATAGGATTTATATCTAATGAGATTAATGCCTTAAAGTAATAATTATTAGATAAGGAGATTATATATAATACTTTATTTAAGGCTCGGAAACCCGATTATTACTAGTATAACCAGACCGTCTTAGAAGCTAATATAATACAAATTATAAGGTTATTTATAATAGCTATTTTGCTTTCTTCTAAGTATTTGAGCCTAGCTCTCATTTATAATAATCCTAATATAGCCAGAAAGTAATACGGGTTTCTAGATAAGAATACTTAGTAATAGAATAATAAGTATCTCTTTATACTATATATATATTATAAGAATAAGGAGTAGGGCAAGGAGATTATATTATTCTTTATATATTAATCTATATACTTGGCTTTTTTTAGTAAATTAGTAAATCTCGGTATAAATAGTAGTCCTAATCTCTCCTAATTCCCGTAATACCGTATTTAATAAACCGGACTATTAGTATCTTAAGAATTAAATATAAATGAAATAAAGTAATTTAGGTAATAGGGGCTTA